GTTGAGTTAACACTTGGATGAGGTGGAAAATGCACTGGTGTCAGCGGACGTAATTATGTATAATGTTCCGCAGGTAGCCGAAGAAAATTTAACTTCGTTGTTTACTCAACTATGCGAGTCGATCAACCTACATCCACTTCCAATTCGCTCTACTTTTCGTATGCGTCCCAGTAGCAAAAGCGCCAATAACACAAACCCCTCTCCAATCACTGTAAAACTAAATTCTGCTTATGATCGCTCTCGTTTGTTCGTAGCAGTTGCTCGATTTCTCAAATCTAGCCGAAAGGCATTAACTCGCCGCAATATTGGAATTGATTCTGATGAAAAGATATTTGTTCATGAATGCTTGACAAAAAAGAACCGTGAGCTTATGCGACTGGGTACTCAGCTAAAAAGACAAACGCGGCTGGTGAGTGTATTCTCAATACGGGGACAAATTTACGCAAAAAAACATGCCGGCAGTGAAGGAGTAAAAGTTCTTAATCGTGAGAGCGTCTAGCAGCTGCCACTTAATAGCATATGTTTTATTATTTTAGTTAATATTGAAACTTTGTACGATTTGTTTTTGTTTTTGTACTTACTTTTGTTTTTATACTTATTTTTATAATAGCCATGACAGATTCTATCCTCTTCTTATTTCACATCTACCCCATTTCTTCCCTTTCCTTATATTTGTACTCTGCAGCTGACTGTTTCGCAAGCCTCCCAAACTGTGTTCCATATGACTAGTACCTTGTGTAGATACACTAACAGTGATAATATTAGGCTAGCTCTGAAACTTACGTGCGAACATAATAATGGGTTCAATATTTGCCACTTTAATGCTCGAAGTTTATCGACTGATAAACTTGAATATTTAAACTTTTTGTTACGGGAGATAAATATTGATGTGGTCTGTATAACTGAGACATGGTTCAAACCTTGTATTGCTAACTCTGCTTATGCTCTTTGTGATTTTTCTCTGTTAAGGAATGATAGGTCCCCTGGTCATAGAGGGGGGTGGCATTGCCATTTATTTCAAATCCAGTCTTAAATGTAAAGTCGTTCATAAATCTGTCTGCCCTGAAACAATTGAAAGTCTTTTTGTAGAGTTTAGTGATAATGTTCAAAGGTGTCTTGCAATATGTGTCTATAATCCCCATAGGTCTAATGACTTTACCACTATTTTTACAAAAATATCTGAACTGTCCTTGAGCTATGTAAATGTCCTCGTCTGTGGTGATTTTAATGTCGATCTTCTCCTGGATAATGTTAAATGTAGGCAATTACTAAAAAACTTTACCAATTGTGGATTAACTGTCGCAAACGAATTTGCAACACGTTTTGCTCCTCACTGTAAGCCAAGCATGTTAGATCTCTTTGGTGTAAGCGATGTAGACCAATTTTCCTTAGTGGAACTAGTATTTTTATCTTTTAATATTGAATTTAATAAAGAATTGTCAGTTACCAACCTGACGTTCAGAGATTTTAAATGTATTGATAAAATAGCACTGAGTGACGAAAGTATATCACTGGAATGGAACTCTTGCTGGTTTGGATGATAAATTAGATCAATTTAATAAACTGGTAAAATACTTGTGTGATAAATATGTCCCTCTACGTACTATAAAAGTGAATAATTATAAGAGACCGTGGTTCACTAAGCACATTCTTAATCTTATTAAGGATCGAAGTAAGGCCTATAAATAATGGAAGCAATATCCTTCAGACGAGCGTTGGAATGCATATAAAAATTTGAGAAATAAAGTAGCTAAAGAAATACGTTACAGTAAAAGAGTCTATCTGGAATATAAGTTTGATACAAAATTACCCTCCAGAACATTGTGGAAAAATTTGAAATCTATGGGAGTCTGTAATAAAGATTCAAAACCTTGCGGTCTTGGTGCGGATGAGATGAACCATTATTTCATTGGCGCCAATAATAAACTTACGAATTCGCACTCGTTCAGTTTTAATCAAAATTTGGTTTGCAAACCCTCATGTGAATTTTCTTTTAATACGGCCAGTGAGGAGGATGTTGTAAAGAATATTTTTGATATCAAGTCAAATGCTACTGGTATAGATGGTATCAGTCTATGTTTCCTTAAGCTGATTATCCCTTCCATTCTCCCGACACTTACACATATCTTTAATTTTGCTTTAAAATCATCCTCCTTTCCAAACCTTTGGAAGATTGCAAATATTATTCCTGTTCCCAAAGGCGAGTCTTGTGACTCTCCTGAAAACTATAGGCCTATTAGAATTTTACCTGTTTTAGCCAAAGTTGTAGAAAAATTTATTTCGTCCCAGATAGTTCTACATTTGAATAATCATAACTCGTTGAGTGAGGTCCAATCTGGTTTTCGGTCAAGTCACAGTTGTTCTACAGCGGTTTTGAAGGTAATGGAAGATATTCGTCCTGCTTATGATGACAAACTACTCACTATCCTGGTGCTATTAGATTTTTCTAAAGCCTTTGATACCGTAAAGCATGACATTCTTCTTGCAAAATTGAAGTACTATTTTGGTTTCAACTCTACTTCGCTTAAGTTTATGGAAGCGTATTTATCAAACAGGTACCAACAAGTGCAATGTGGAGAAACAATTTCGTGTCGCAGGAAAATTAATTTCGGTGTACCGCAAGGCTCAATCCTGGGTCCTATACTCTTTAGTATATTTATAAATGATTTTGTTCACTGCTGTCAAAATGCTTATATTCACCTGTATGCCGATGATACACAGATCTACTACTCGCGACCTATTGGACTTGGGAAAGACCTTGTGTTTCGGTTAAATGAAGATCTAAGGAGAATAGAGATCTGGGCCGAAACAAATAGCCTCTGCTTAAATGCTGCCAAAACGCAGGTTATATCTATATCACCTCATTCTTTTGATCTGAGTTGTCTATCGCCAATTATATTGGGGCAAACTGAGTTAAAGTTTCGACATGTTGTGACTAATCTGGGCTTTAAAATTAATTCTCCTCTGACTTGCACAGATCATATCAACCACTGTATCTCTAGAATATACTTTATTTTAAGAAACCTTTGGCATACATGATATTGCCTACCAAATAATACAAAATTGAAGCTAGTTCAGTCACTTATCGTTCCCCATATCGCGTATTGTGAAACAGTGTATGGAAATCTTGATTATGAATCGAAGAATAAATTAAAAGGAGCTTTAAATATATCATATATCGTTGTTCAGTGTAAATATTCTCGGTTATAGCATCGAAAGTTACTTAATTTATCGCAATATTTTATTCCTATTCAAACTGATCAGAAACCGCAAACCATTATACCTGTACCGTAAATTAAAATTTGTTCAATCGTCTCGTACCTGTAATATTGTTGTCCCTAAATACCAAACATTAATAGCCTCAAGATTATTTTTTGTTAGTGCTATCAGAATATGGAATTCACTACCAAATTCAATAAAATGTGTAAGTTCGATTCAATGCTTCAAAACAGCAGTTGCAAATCTACTCAAAAATTAACTATAAACTTCCCATCCTCTGTCTTTTCAAGTTTTCTGTCTGTCTTCTATCCCTTAGTGTTAGTTATAATATAGCCAGAATGATAAGTAGTTCATATACTTATATTATTGTCTTAGCTTAAGTTTAATCTTGTAATTGAAATTTTTGTTATTAGTACGCTTAAAGACTTCGAGTTTTACTGTACTTACAAAGTAAATAAATGATTGATTGATATATTACCAATCGCTAAAATTATCAAAGGTGTCATCTTTGTCTAAAATAAAGGCACGAAAAAGTGGCATAAGGTTAAAATAATTTTAATTTCAATATAAAAGAAAATGCAAAGTTTTCAATGACACACATACATATGTATTTTTATTTAGGTTGGTGATGTAGACGGGTTATAATTGACAGAATGGATAAATTCGTGCAATCTGCTAAAAGTAAGAGTACATTAATTGTGTAGTACGTAGCGTAATTCTTTTATTAAATATTTGTATTTTTGTACAGCATCCCGTGAAGATACCTCGATAAATATTGATTCTTGTAGCGAATCCGATTCTGAAAGAAAACGTTTTAAAAGAAAGAGAGTAGGCTCATCCAACGTGTGGAAATTTTTTGAGCCATCAAAAGACAAGAAATTGGCGAAATGTCTCCACTGTGGCCGAGAGTACAAAACTAGTGGTAATACTACCAACCTGTCGGATCATTTGAATCGCGCTCATCCTACCCTCAATAACTGTGTAAAGCCGATTAACACCATATGAGCACATTTTAGTAAGTCTGAAAATTACGACCAAATTTCGACGCGTAAAAAAGAACTTGATGTATCATAAATGAAAATGGTCGCATTAGATGTGCAGCCCTTTCAAATTGTTGAAGATGTAGGTTTCCGAAATTTTGTTAAATGTTTAGATCCCCGATACGTGTTGCCTAGTCGAACAACTCTACAAAATGTGTTGTTAAAGAACATGTACAGTGATGCTAAAATCAAATTACAAGAAATTTTAAATACGGTGGAACATTGCGCAATAACGACCGATTGTTGGACGTTCCGGGAAAATGTTGGTTACTTAACCGTCACATGCCACTTTGTTACGGAAAAAATGAAATTACAGACAGCGGTATTATCGACCACAACTTTATTAACAACCACAAATCATTCCGCTGACAATATCGCGAATTCGTTACGCAATGTTTTATCGGAGTGGGGCGTTCTGGAAAAAGTAACTTAAATTGTGACGGATAATGCGGCAAGCATGATTAAAGCTTGCGAGCTACTTCAAAAACGACACCTACCGTGTTTTGCGCATTCTTTAAACTTAATTATTCTGGATGCTTTATCACAAGAAAACATAAAACCCGTGATAATGAAGTGTGAGCATATCGTTGGTTATTTTAAAAGCAGCACAATTGCTTATGAAAAGTTTAAAGAGACGCAGAATGATACAGTTTGCTCCAACGCGATGGAATAGTGCGTACCTAATGATTAAAAGAATAATAGAGACAAAAGATTATATTTCTAATGTTCTACTTGCAACTCCAAAAGCTCCACAGACTATTACTGCAGACGAAATAGAAACTTTGAAAGATTTGGTTGAATTATTTGGTCCATTTCATGAAGCTACTGTACAAGCATCAGCGAGTGATTCTGTTACAATATCATTAATAATACACTTACGTGTGGCCTTTACCATAAATTAAATGATTTGCAAACTAAAATGAAAACGACAGAAGGTTACAATACATGCACTTATGTAATTCGACGACTGAGAGTTAGATTAATTCACTACGAAAACCGAACAGTTAAAAAATGGGCACCATTTTAGATGCAAGGTTCAAGAAAGAAGGTTTATCAAGTAACACGGCAGATAGTGCAGTCAAAGCATTAGAAGATGAAATAGCAAGTTTAGGCAGGGCCGAATCATCTTCACATTATTATGAAGAACCGTCAACATCACCTAATGTACAACTTCAACCTGAACAATCGCTTTTTAAATTTATAAACAACAAGGTTGCGGAAAGAAAAAAATCCAAAAGGGTAGATGCAGTCATAACTCTTCGGCAATACCTTAATAAGCCGAACGCGTTTCATGACATTGATCCTTTAACCTATTTAAAGGTACTACATTTTATTAAATTTAATCTTTTGTTTTTAATAATTCTTTTGTTTATACAGCAACGCAAGTGACATGGAGGCTATAAAAACTTTAGCCATACGCTACTTTTGTATTCCAGCTACCTCAACGGAGTCCGAAAGAATTTTTAGTAAAGCTGGAATCCTTATATCAGACAGGAGGACTGCTTTGAAGCCCAAAAATTCCGACATGATTTTGTTTTTGAACAAAAACCAGTGGGTTATGGAATGATCTCACTTAATTCATTTAACTTTTTTCAAAGAGACCTAAATACTATGTGAGTTTTTATTTTTTTTATATATCTAAATTAACTGTGAGGCAGTTAAAAAACTTGTTCAATACGTCACACGTAATTAAAATTAGAGACGTAAAAAATTGTTATTATTGAAAAGTCGAAACTATCGTCGATGTATCGATAGTTTTAGAAAAAACCATCGAAACTATCGATGGTCAGACTATCGATAGTTTTGCAGCTCTACCGTTAACAGAATTTAAGAGTACTGAAGTTTGTTCTTATATCTTATAGTCTACTACCAAAATGTTTCTGGGCTTAGGACTAAATCTAAGTCCCTGTATGAATTAAGTTCACCTTTGTATTATGACGTTTTTGCCCTCGTTCAGACCTGGCTAACGGCTGATTTTTACGACAACGAATTTTTCGATTCAAATCTCTACAACGTGTATCGTAAAGATCGAGATTCGCTTAAAACTGGAGTGTCCAGAGGGGGAGGTCTATTAATTGCTGTTTATAGAAAATATTGTTCGTCGATTCTTTCGTTGCATGATGGGGACTCGCTCTTGGATCAACTATCTGTGTCCGTGACTGGTACTTTACACTCATATTATGATTCTATTATATCTTTGTAATGTTGGCTGGACGACTGGACGACTGGACGATAGTTTGGCTTTATTTCCCAATAACGTTAGCGGATTCTCTGAAACATATGTTGTTGACAATCTACTAAGCTTAAATCTCAGTCAGATAAATAACTTAAAAAATAAAATTACCAGAATTTTTGACCTAGTATTTTTAAGCGAAAACTTGAACTTTTCTTTAAATGAATGCCTCGACACTCTGCCGCGTTGTAGTTTACACCTTGTTCCTCTGGTTCTGCAACAGGAGTTTTACGAATTCAAAAATGTTAATTCAGATACCTATTCCTCAAATTATAGTTTTAGGAACTGTAGCTTTCATACAATTAGTAATGAAATTTCTAGGGTAGACTGGGACTCCGTTTTTGTAGAGCAGGATGTTGCAGATTCTTTCATTACTTTCAGAAATAAAATTATTGAAATCTTCAAGAGACATATCCCGCTAAAGAAAAAGAACTGCCATAAGATTCCGTGGTTTACTAAGGAATTGAAGAAAATTAAGAACTTAAGGAACAGAGTTTTTTGAAAATAGCCGTTTTTTACACGCATATACATCTACGCTTAACGCGTAGAAAACCATAATCAACAATTTCCATTTCAAAACAAGTAATTTTGATTTTATCAACAACTATTCATAAGCACACATAAAGTTTGCCGCTTACAGCTACATACAATTTTTAATGCGTGTAAAAAACACGCCTTACATAAGCGTTCAAATTCGCCGCAACATAAGGCAAAATATCTGTGCTATGCGAATAAATTTAAATCTCTGAGTAAGACCCTACATAGAAATTATGTTGCCGGATTTGAAAGTGCATCAAACTGAACCCTAAAGCTTTAAGGGATTATGTTAGTTCCAACGCGAATTCATACAAGGTGGTGTTACCAGAGCATCTACACTGAGAAAAAGGATTAGTTTCGACAACTAAAGATATTTAGTTCCCGAATTTTGACAATATTTGGGAACTGTGACCAAGGATTGGGAACTATTACCATGGGTTGGTAATTATAACTAAATATATTAAAGCTTCTAATATTCATTTAGGTTGTTCCAAATCGTTAATTTAGTTGAAGGATTTCGTAAATACTAATAAATATTTTTAGAAGCATATTTTTACAAATTCCATTCAACTTAACGTATGGTTCATAAAAAGATGTCATTAAGCTCTGCTAATACAGATAAGCTTTCTTTTAACACATGGTTTAGTCATAGTTACCAAATCTTAGTTGAGGCAACCACGATTTGGTTTGAGAGCGGAACATATTCATGCTTGTGAGCCACCCCTAAATAATGCTCAGCGCTCTCTGAGCACATGTGTGTTTCACATACGAAGAGCGCCAGCTAAGCAATGCACACCAGTGATGAAATTGATGGTACAATTGTACTTGTTTGGTACATTTTTGAAGCCAAAAGTACATTGGTACTACATTGACATTTTTGATACATTTTTGTCAAGCTACGTTACTGCACTGCAATTATGTCGAAATACCACACTCTATTTACTTGGAGTTTTGAATTTTTGTGCATAAAAATATATACATATTTTTCTACCTTAGACAGAGAATATAAGAATAATAGCGAGTAAAATTGAGGGAAGACTAAAATATCAGAAAAAGTTAGTTTTCTAACAAATATTTTTGATACCACATAATGACGCTTTCAAAAATAAAAGAATCTCCTCCAAGCACCCTTCCTTGTTTCACAAAAATCAAGTAGATATAGTCATGATAAAAACATAGCAAGGTAGAACCGTTCTCTCATTTTGTCGGCCATGATTTTTTTTTTGAAGTTTGCCAGCACTTTAAAATCATATAAAATTGAAAATAAAAAATTGAAATTGTTCGAAATTGTTGTTGCTTGAGATTGAAAATAAAAATGTGTGTGTGAGTTTGTGAGTAAATTTAAAAATTAAAATGTTTGGAAACGTCAATAATTTTAAAAGTAATTCTCAGCGGTTCGACCTTACTATATTTTTATCATGGATATAGTTACAAATGTGTCTTTAAAATTATCCCATTTTCGTTTTAACGATCAACTGACAAATTCGGTCAGAACCTTTCAGCATTATTATCTATTTTGGTATATTTCTCAATATTTTGCGTAAATTCCGTCCAACAAATTTTTTCATCCACAATAGAATAATTTTATATGGTAGCCATAGTTGACGCACGGAAATTAGAAAATTAGAGATTAATAGTAGATTAACTAAACTAAACTTTTCTTCCTTTCTTTTGTTTATTCACGAACACATGTTGTGGTCAGCAGACATTTACTTGTCAGTTTTCGTAGGTAAAATTTTTTCCAGCAGAAATTGGCAGATCTCAGTGTCATTTTACGTTCTCGCTTTCCTCCACTTTGCAAGATTTTAGGTAAAGTGTGTTTGCATTGTTCAACTTTGCGTTCAACATTTGCGTTCAACTCAGCGCAGGGTTGCACGAAAAAAGTTGAATGGCTAAAAATATCAAAATATGAAAAAATACCAAAATATTCGCCATAAAAAGGTGTTTGCATTGTTCAACTTTGCATTTAACTTTTGGTTGAACGGCCTTTCAACTAATCGCTTTCTACAAAGTTGGTCGCCAGCCAACATTTAGCTATTCAACTTTTTTTTCGTGCAACCCTGCGTTGAGTTGAACGCAAATGTTGAACGCAAAGTTGAACAATGCAAACACTGCTGTACGAGAACACTGCTATTAACTTGTTTATTTCTATAAAAGGAAATATTTTGCAAAATATTTTTGTAAAACTTCCATTCCGTTAAATGCAACGGTTTTATTTTTAATTTTTGTATTACTAGCACTTAATAAGTATAACTTGTATGCTTTTCTTCATTACCTTGGCGTTTTGGTGGCCTTTTCAAACAATTGATTTGCACTTATGTTTTCCATCTTCGAAACGCGATGTTTTATATCATGATTTTTATACAGAAAATCTAAAAACATATGTATATGTAACTATGTATGTATGGTCTTTTAAATGTTGGTACTTTTTCGGCTATTTAGTACACTTTCTGTGGCCTTTGGTACAAAATTAAAAAATCTCATCTCATCCCTGATGCACACAGTCCCACTTATTGAATCGTTTGAATGCGCTAGTATGCCGATCATTGCATAAAAACGATTAAATAAATGAGACTGTGTGCGTGGAAATCATTGCTCCGCTACCGCTGTTCGTATATGAGTGAAACACAAGAATGATAGAATACAAGATTGCGCCAATGAGAGAGGATTTTTGAGCGTAATTTTTGCGTGACGTCATCTTGGTGCAATTGCGAGAGAGAAATGCCAAAACGCATATAAAAATATGTAAACAATGCAGAAAAATGTGTTAATTTTAATATTACATGGCCCAATTTTGCAGGAATAAAAAAATATACAAAGATTGATTAATTAGGAACACGTAGCAATAACTTTGGACATGTAGCCCTTTAGGTAAGTACGATTTTTAGCACATGAAAAAATGGATGTATTAAGTGTTTGCAATTTCATGTTGACCAAACGGAAGGTGTGCCGCAAAGTGAATTTTTGGACTCGCCATTCTAAAAAGCCATGCAGAGTGCATATTTATATTTGTGGACGGTAGCAAACCACCATAAACTCCACAGCTTTTATTTGATGACTTTTGTACCATTTCCGAGAGGATGCATGCGTGTGGCTTCTTTGGAAATAAATATTCTATGCAGCGCGGTAAGATGCCGCTTGAATTAGCGCCTGGCGGCCTTATCCACTGGTGCATTAGCTCATACCAGCACTAAAAATATTATTTTCAATATCTTCACTAGTAAAGTGCTTCATACACACATAGCTCGATTTGGTGTTTAATGCATCTCCTCGCCGTCATAACTGCTTCCACTTTTTCGCCAGATTTCCGTCCGTAGGAAACGAAAAAAAACTCATATGGCACGCTTTCCTTTTGTTTTCACTATTACACTTTGCCACGGCACACTTCATTTTGCTTTGTGATGTTTAAATAATTGTTTAAAACCACGCAGAAATATTAACGCACATATATTAAAATTGTATCTGGTTTTTTCGTATGCACACAATCAACAATTGCACCAAGATGACGTCACGAACACCTGATTCTGTCAAAATCAAAAAGAGCGGATTAGCGGCACCGCGATTGGCGCAATCTCTATTTCTCTCAATCGTGGGTGAAACTGAAACTTTTTTTCAATAATAAACGGTTAGCTGATTCACGTCTACAGCAAGTTCACAAAATTTTTTGAAAACTTGTATCAACCAAAGCATTGTTTACATTTGCTCAACAATGATTTTATTC